TTATACACGACCAATAGACTACATTTTATTATCCACAGGGAATATCAAAATGGCTTCTGACTTTGGGACTGGTGAGCATCAACTAAACGAGATCTATTCCGCCGTCTTAACTTCAGCTCACAGAGCATACTCATGTCGGAAATTTCTGTAAGTTCTCGAACTCTCTCATCGTCAAACGCACACCAACTTAAGGCTTTCTTAAAGACCGCGAGCGAGCAAAGGACTTTGTAGAACTTCATGATCAGGTTCAGGTACGTTATTGGTAATATCAAGTCAACAATCCTTTAATGTGCCGCTCGAAAGACGAGTGTTACTCTGCTGGACAACCTTGAATCTTTCCTCTCTACATTTCAAAAAGATCTCGCTGCAGTAGCTGGACAGATATCCGAACTGCAAGATAGAAGCAAAGACATTGATGGCAGGCTGAAAAGCCGAAAGGTATCTACCATTCGTTACAATACCGACTCCTGTCGGTGTCTCATAGTTCAGTGCAGAAAGTTGAAAGACCACTCTCGAGTCTCATATCCGACATTACAATATCCCCATCTCTCGCTGCCATTATTCTCGATACCAATGTTGGAGACCCCTGGATTGGTGCTATTATTGACTTCGAGAGACGTTTGGTCATTTCAAAAGCGCGCACCCGAGTCAAGGCTGCTCGTGATCTTGCAGAAGTCATAGAAGGATTGAGGATTGTGGTAAGGGTTCCTAGGTCCAGTTATCATCTTATAATGTTGGCCTACTTTTGTGCACCTAAAGGCAGCGACAAAATTGCGCGCATTTTTCTTCGCGCTCTTTCAACCTATTCGTGCAAGTGTAACGACGAACATGCAAGTTATACAGACCTCAGTGCTGCTGAAGTATAGCCCGCTATATGCTTTTCTGCAACGTCATGCGCCCAATGTTGCTCATGAACTGCAGCGTTCGTACATTGGTGCTGCGCGCATGTACTATGAAACCGGGTTCCGACGGTACGCTCGCAGTCTCGGCGTAATCAAGGTAAAACCAAGGTTTTGATATCCTGAAATGTGCTGAAGGTACTGTCTATGGTTCCCCTGCAGAATCGCACAACAGAGAAATTTGAGTCTATCGTCAGCACTCAGTCAGATGCGAATATCCCACTTGAACGGATACAGCATGCAAAAATCGACGGGCCAGGAGTGACACTGGCTTACATGGCAGACGATAAATCACACGTTTGGAATAATTTAATTCATCGTTGTTCCTAGCTGATCTTGGTAAACAGAAAGAACATGTGGAATCTCTGTTACGATCGCTTTTGCTGGTTTTTATGGATAATGCAACGGCCGAATACAGTTTTGTGTCCACCTTTTTTGCCACTCAGTCTTCGGTCCCTCTTGCAGAACCCAACCCTAACATACCGCCATCAGCGGCGATCTTGTCGCCTGACGGAGGGACTTTTACCGACCTGCAATCACCTTCTGCTTCTGAATTTGACGCACATCAGCCATTGTCCAGCAATACACCAGGTCTTGGAGGATTTGTTTCATTTGTAGCGAGATCCAAGGAAGAAGCGGGCGTCATTGGTGGACTTTGGAAACAAATAATGGATCCCGTCATGGAATACTGTCAAGTAGGCAACTTCAACCTACGTATTGATATAATGTTTGACAGTTAAAACAGGAATTTGTTCGATTGATATTGGAGCCTATGCCGTCACCTATCCCTCTTCTTGCCATGATTCGATTAGCTGAGGACGTTGTCGCGGAGATTCAGAAACGTCACTGCCCCCCTGCGGAGTCCTATGTGTTTGGATTAACTCTTAAAATGTGGCCAGTCTTTCAGAAAGGCATGACGGAACATATTGAAAGCCTGAAGAAATTGGCGGAGGGTGCTAGCTCTGGGTACTTCAGTCGTACATCGGCAACAACAGATGCTACTGTCGCAAACGTGAGTACATTGTTTTTCGGGTCAGCCGGTCTATTTATATAATCGTTTTAGATATGTGGACAATATGTGATGCTCTTCAACTCCTTTGTGTATCTCACAGATAACGAAGCTGAAAATATGATCTTTTCTAAGTAAGAGCTTCTTGTTTCATCCCACCTTGCCCTTTCATTTACTAACATGGCTACAGTCTCTTACGACTACGACAAGAATTGGCGAAGTTAATCATACGACATACATCGGCGCAGGGCAACGATACTCTATCCAAGGCTAAGGCACAATCGACTATCTATGGAATATTGCTCCAAGGATTAAGCGTTTGTCAATTCATCCGATAACAACCTTGAAGCATTCTAAAATGTATGTCTACAGAAAGGAACACAACATACAGCTCATCTAAAGCTCCAACAAGAGATAGCCCATTGGGCTTATCTGGAGGAGGAAACGAAGAGGAAGATGATATCTGCTGGGCAAACAAGACAAGGTCGTTAATTTTAATTATAATCAGACAGTGATATGATTATGAAGTTAGTCAAGTATTTGACAATAAGACGTTTAGCACAGAGTAAATTGGCTCGCTTACCCAATCAGGGAAGTGACCTTTAGCATAAGCGTTAGCACCAATACAACATGGCAGTTACCTCTAACAATCTGAATACGCAGCCAATAATCACTCCTCTCACAGCTGAAGAAGAAGGTGGGTTTTATTGCGTGAATACACGTTAAAGCTAATGAAGAACTGTTTAGACCAGATAATATTTGCACGTATAACGAACGATGAACGACCGTTGCGACGCGTGATTAAAAAGTTTCATGGCTATACTTCACTCTCGCATTCCTCAGTCGTTCCATCTATCACGCCCAATGGAAGCAGTTCTGTGGAAGATGCAAGAGAAGCCTTTTTAGTGGAGCTAGCGTCTTTCCAGCTTTTGATGAAGAAAAGTGCTATGATATGTGAGGCAGAGGCTCGTCAGGTGGAGGAATACCAGCGGGAACGGAGAAGACTTGGTGAGCAATTGATATAACTCGCCTATGCGTGTCCATATGCTCATTCTCATATGAAGATAATGAACATGAAACCTTGATCTCTCAAATTGAAGAATTGAAGACTGCCCTGGAACATGCTCAGATGCTGCGACGTAGAAAAATAGAATATGATCTTGTTGCTGAAAAAGTCAACACTCTCCCCAGTCGGGAAGAGTTGGAATCGTATGTCGTCTTCAACGCACGTAAATGAATACTTAAATCACTTGTATTTTCCAGGACCATACATGCTCTAGAGAACGATATGGCTGCTATACGTGCAGAACACGAGACTCAGAACCGTACCATTAAAGGACATAAATCTGCCCTGGATGGGATCATCGCCGACTTGAGTTCCTTGCGATTCATGGGGAAAGAAAGAGAGTCAACCTTGATACCTGAATCTCGACCAGAGACGCCGTATCTGGACACCCTTGACGTAGTGTCCATCGCTGAAAGTAGCCTAACCTCAATCAATTCTGGTTCCTCGGAGGGGGAGGAGGGGGAGGAAGATAAAATTGTCTTGGATCCAGATCAAGTGACGAATGGACATGCTGAAGAGGAAGATGACATTGAAATGGGAGAGGTGGAGGAAGAACCAAAGGACAAAAACAAGAAGAAATCCAGGGAAGATCTAGAGGAGGGAGAGGCGACTGATGCCAGCAGTGAACTTTCAGAGCCGCCCGATGATTAAAATTATGTGTTGTAACCCTATTTCTCACTGAATGGTATATCTAAACTCATTAAATCCTTCGCACAAACGACCTCTTGCCCATATTCTGAGGAGGCCAACTTCGCGATAGCTAGCTGTATTATAGTGGATTCTGGCGAATCGTCCCCAGGATATCGCGCCGAAAAATGGTTGAGGATTAAATGCTTGGCATTAATACGTTTCGCAAATAGCCCAGCCATTTGAGGTGTGGAATGGCCTCTTGACTTCGTCCGAGTCTCGACATACTCAAAAGTGTCTGTATCCTTAGTGTTCGGATCAATGCCTGGTAGATGGGCATTAGTGGCTTCGTGGATTAACAAGTCTGCACCTTCCGCTAAAGAGCTGATTGGGGAAGGGTCATAGGTATCCCCCAAAATCACAACCTTGCGTCCTTTTCTCCTTGGAGGCCCTTGGAGAACTGTGCCATCAGCAAGCTCAACCCTTTCCCCCTGTTGCAGTTGTCGCATCACCGTCATTGGGGTTTTCGTACGCTTGAGCTCTGGGATATATTTCGAAGGATCGATTTTGCCTGGAACAGGTGCTTCGGTAACCACATATCCGATACATTGCACAGAGTGGAAAATGGGGGCAGCAGATACCGATACGACGTCGTCTTTGAAGATATCAATCCATGAGCCCACTACCTGTGGAATATTACGGCCATGAGGTGACTCTGAGGCATGAGGAGATAGCGATGTAAAATCCCCGGTTTGAGGATCTGAAGGCGATCGTAATTCATGGACAACATACATTCCGCCCAACAGTGTGTGGGTATAAGTGAGGCCGTTGCGAATGTAGGCGCGTGTACCTAAAGGACCATAAATTTCGAGAACCTGTGTTTTGTGAACATGTAAATGGTGCAACATCATCACAGTGAGAAGACGCAGACTGGTTTGTCAAGCTCGACTTGTAATCTTGGATCTTCAATCCCATCCGCTGTACCACCAGCGCCATTCAGCAGGCTAGCCATCAATGGTAGAAGACCAAAGATATGATCTCCTGCAAGATCACCCTTCGTAGTCAGCTCTAAAATGTTGACTGAGGAACGAGTGAGATGTTCATTAACCGTGTGTGTGGGTTATGAAGATTTTCTCAATTCTACCCATCTTGACGTTGCTTTTTTGCAACTGATGTTGGGTTGCTTCCCCGCAATCGAATAGCCATACATCTTTCCCGAGACGTAGACTGAGAGCAGAATGATTTCTGGTTGAAGATGGCTGAGCAGACGCTGTGCCAAGAAACGTGATGTTCATGGAGCTGATCAAGGACCTCTGTGTTGTGTTCGACATTATGATTCGGTTCATTGAAGCAAAATAATATGAAGTAAAATAAAAAGATACTGTGAAGTTCTTCCTTATGTCGGTAGCTGGAATCGAACCAGCGGCTCTTCGGAAGTGTCAACAACCACAACGAAGTGATTTAACCCCTAATCGATACCAACGTTGCAAGACTAGTCGCATTCGGTATCTAAGACTACGTAAAAGTCGGAATACTCTTACAAATGTCTACAACAGACTATACGAGGTTACCTGTGGACCTTGGAATTGAGGGCATGAAGGATCGTCTGCAAATAAATATTCAGACAAACTGGTAAGGACAAAGGTAAGAAAGTATTATTACCTATTCAATGCGAGTCCTTTCAATGCTCTGATTTCCCGTCGCATCTCATCTTCAATAGAGGATTTCTCTGAAGAACTAGAAAGGCCTGTCCCTATTGCTGTTGGTGGTCGGTAGGGCAGGTACACCTGTGCACTGATTTCTCCGGTGAAAGCTGAAAGGAAGTGTAGAGTACGCTGGAAAAAACTCTTTCGTGTCTTTATATCCTTGGGCAGCTCATATAATAATGCGTCCAATGACTTTGTCAAAGGAGGAGGGCTTTCATGCGTGGATGGTATGTACTCCCAATATGTAGGCAAATCGGCATCCGCGCTGTTATGTAAATCGGTCGAGGTGGGTGAAAAATCATGGTTGAATAATGGACATGTCGAAAGAGTGTCCCACAGCTTTTGCTATATTTGACTCTGTGTGAGATGATATCCTTCAGTTCAAAATGCACACACACACCTCATAATGTAACCCGTCTTCACTAACCAACCATGGAATCTGACTTTCAAGGTAACGGAATAGATCCTCCGTAGAGGGTTTCGCATTTTGGTCATCTTTTCCTTTCCCGTAATCTGCAATGCCGCAACGCAAAAGAGTAAGAGGAGGGATTGTCGAAAAAGAGGAATCTTTTTCTCCAGTGATAGCAACTGCATCGGATACTGACTTGCATTGGGCATAGCGAGGAAGCTCTTTCAAGGGGCTGGAACGAGGAAGAACCGACAATGACTCTGCTTGGGATTCTTTTAATGCTGCAAGGGAAGTAGTGAGCCGCCTCAGAAGGGAGAGGTGATGAGATCTCAAAGAATGACGGGCCAAAGATGTTTGAGCTATCCAAGGCAACAATAAGCGCTAAAAGGACGGGCTAAGCTGTAATAATAGTTGACTATTGAAGACGACCGACATGATACAAAAGGAGGACCACGGCAGAACCACCAGCTAACCACGAGAACAAGCGCACTAGACCAAGAAGGAGGGCAGGCAAGTTTGAAGGGGGTAGCTGGGGATAGGTTCTCGGGGGGATAGATGGCAATTGTGCAGGCTAATTGATATATGTAATAGTAAAAGTGCGATGGAATATAAACACATACGATGGCTCGAAGTAGTTCCTCAATTTCGGCATCGTTCAAACCCTTTTCTATCAAGAAGGCTCGTTTAGCATTGATGTCTTGGTGTTGTACTTGGGGGGAGGACAGAAACGAACGCCCCTTGGCTAGCAAGTCTGATCTGTCCTCTGACTTGGCGTTAGCAGGCTTTGTGGCTGCTTCAGACATGGTCAAAGATGTGAACAATTACATAATTGCAATACATGATACTAAAGACCTGCAATAAATATAACATGCTATCCATCCTGTTAAAACATATTTGCTAGCTTGCTGGCCGCCTCTCGTGCATCCAACCTTGGTCTAGTAGGCTGTACACGAACAGAACTCGTCATTTGATGAGGTCTAATAGAACCCAAAGGATCCGTTTCTTGCGTTTGCGAACCTTGTTGGTTTGGTCCATTATGCGACGCAGACGATACGGTTCCATACGAATCATTACGAAGAGGATCAAATGGCACATTGGGACCAGAAATATTTGATGTCGATGACGAAAATGAAAGCGGCGAAGGACGCGGACTTGACGTACTCTTCGGTACAAACATCGACTTGGTTCCATCTACAAAGCGGCCACCAAGCGGAGCTTCATTCACTACCGGTCTAGAAACAGTCTGCCTTACGGGGACGATGGCAGGGCTAGAAGGTCCAGCACCAGGAGATTGAGGGGGTAAAGGATGTTTAGGGATATGCTGCGATGGAGGAGAGAAGGCTGACGAGAAGGATTGAACAGAGGCTGCAGACAAAGGTTCTTGCCTATCAACTGGGGTCTGTGGGAATGGAGAAGGCAGTGAACTTTGTGGTATTTGCGGTACTTGTGGTTGGTTGGGGAATTTGTGCGGAGTGAAGCCTTGCGGACCTCCACTGTTAGCAACAAGACCAGCGGTGTGAGGAGGCTGCATTTGGGGCGCTTTTTGAAATCCATTTGCTAAGGGGGCCGAAGGGGCTGATTCCATATGATTTCGAGCAGAGAAATCTTCCAGAGGAGGTATAATAGAAGGTTTTGGAACGCCGTTGGCGGCAGGCACGACTTTTTTAGCAGCATTGTTAACATCGGCTCGGAGGGCCTCCAACTCACGCAGTAGCTGCCTTTCATACATAATGGAAGAACGAGCATGTTCGATGAGAGCAGTTGTGATATCATCATTGGCGTATCGGTTATGTGTTTGGAGCGCTTGATGTAGGTTCTGAGAAATACCCTCCGCACGTTTGGCAAGTGTCTGTTCATATCGATTGGCCTAAAAAATGGCGTTGTATGAGAAATTCATCTTCTACGATGATAGACAAATACTACGAACCTCTTCCATTTCTTCTATAGCTTCATCGACACGATCAGGACGTATATTAGAGCTTGCTTTCAGACGCTCGATTTGACGTCGTTTAGAAATGGTCGTTTTCACAGCGCTTTGATATTCTTCAAGAACCCCTGTTCGCATTTGCAAAGTTTCCTTGGCCGACCGCGCGTTCATGCCTTGATATCCAAGTGAATCACCAAGAATGACACATTCACTAATGGCTTGGGCCTGGTCGAGGTCAGCTACACTATGCCAGGTTCTTCCAAGCTTCCGCAAAGCATTTCCTAATGGTGGGTGCGCTTCGGTTGTTGCCACGTTGACTAGTTTATTTCCCATTTCTGCGTGAGCAGTTGCCAAAGCTGTTGTAGTACAATGGAGGAATTGGATTAAGTTAAATTCAGTTCGGGTCGGACTAGGGTACTGACCTTTCCGAGACAGAGCAAGTTTATCCACTGCTTTGGCGGTTTCAAAGAATTGGCCTTCAAGCTTGGTCAACTCAAACCGAGCTCTCTGAAGTTCCTCGTCTTCATCTGGAACGCCACGCCTCATAATACCAAATCCGGAAGAAGTCTTACGCCTGGGCCGTGGAGTGGGCTGATAACCAAAGTCGCTCTCAATAAAAGCACGGACGTCCTCATCGTGAAGTAGAATGGGGTCTTCACAAACTCTCGTTATCCACCGCTGTAGCATTATCTTCACCAACCGATCATCTTCCTCGTCGGTAGGCGCAGAGGTTTGAGCCAGAGGTAAAGCAGGCACAATAGTCTGAGGGTTGCTATGCACGATCGACTCGTAGAATTGTTGGAATTCAAGATACGAGCGTGATACATTTCGGTAAGTTGTACCAGAGAAGTTGGAGAGATTGGTCTGGCCAAATCAATCAAAGGGAGTTGTTGGATCAACAGACAACTAAAATAAAATTTAGATGGTACAGACCTGTGCGTCAAGTTTGACAAGGATATCTCGTCTATTCCTGTCAAGTCCATTGATTCGAACTCGAAGATACGGTTCTGGCTTTTCGTAATTGACTCCGTTGGTCCCGACAGTATCCCGAGGTGAAATGAGACCAGCCTCGGGCTGCCCATAAATTTGCGGTTCTTTACCATAGAGCCCCGGAGAAGGACCCTTGTCAGGAGTTGGAGGTACAGGCGTTAGTGCGCGACGCAAGTTGGGAACGGGGGAACCAGGCGGATGAGGTGTCGTAGGCCATGGAGGCGTATCTTGGGAATCTGTGCCTCCAAATACCGAGCTTGTGGAGTTTAGGGGATCGAACATCAAACTTGTGAAACGTAGTTATAGATTGTAAGAGAGAGAGGACGAGCTTCGGCGTGAACCTATGTGACCAGATACCGTGTATTATGTAACCCGATTCTGCCGTGCTCGTGCTTATTCGACGCAATTGGTGTATATAACTTATATAGTAAAGAAAGTTGATAAAGAACGACTCGGGTAAAAGTCCAAAAATAACTCTGGACAGATGAACGATGTTTAAAACTTGAAGAAAAGCGAAATGTCCACGATAAATTAGAAGATATTATTGTCAGAGGGAAGGTGGAATGAAGAACTATATCTCATCAAGGTGACGCGCAGTCGGGGATCTTGATATTCTTGAGGGTTCGGCTACAAATCATGGGTGAGATTACATTCCAAGCACAAAAGGGTGAAAACTGACTCCTTGTTAAACAAACCCCAATGACCCTGGAAGACGTCAGAATGGAAAGAGTGTGCAAAGATGAACAAAAACTATACCTCGACACCTCCATATTTTATATCCTGTAATTGGATAGCTGTTAGCATGTTCGACTTCAAGATCGTAAGTATATTGTAACGTACCTTCCACTCCTCATCAAAGTACTAGTCAATTCGAAGCTTAGTTTCATTCAGTGCAGGAAAAAGTTTCAAGTACATACCTCGAAGTAGAAATAGCCAGTACCAGCCTGATTAGCCTGGCACACGAAAGTATCAAGGAAGATTTGAAGATTGGGAATGGATGCATCAGAAGCGCCATTGTTCGCATTGGAAATGTCAGATGATGCCTAGATTATACACACGATGTCAATGATAACCATTGGCATAATAGAGGAGAATCGTCTCATACAGAGGGCCACCCAGTCTCAGCGATGTACATTTTAGGCTATGGCTAAAATGTCAGAGCTGATTTCATTTTCCATATCGCGATTGCTTACATTGTTGGGTAAAAGAGAAGCTGGCTTCACGTTTGTATCTTGGAAGAAAGTCGTCACCCACGAAGCAGCATCTTGGATAGTCGTGTTGGCGAACCAGGCATGTACATTGGACATCTGATGGAACATGTCAATAACTTTGGACTAAACTTTGGGGCAAAGGCTGAAACTCACTCCGTAGTCGATCGCTGCCAGAACCTCATTGTTGAAGTAACTTCCAGCATCGGAATTGCCAACTGGGATATTCTTGTTGAGGTTCAG